TTTCCCTTCCCCTCCCCACAACAGACACCCTGTGAGGTAGGTGGGACTGAGAGAGCTCTGACAGAAACTGCTCTTTTTCAAGAACAGCTGTGCCAGAACTATGGCTTGCCCAAGGTCATCCAGCAGGTGCAAGTCGAGGAGCGGGGAACCAAACCCGGTTCTCCCAGATTAGAGTCCGCGCACTGAACCACTACACCAAACGGCAGATTTGCTTTTTATTAACATGAAACGAGACTGCCAAAAATAAAAAAGGGGTAAAATCAATATTGATGATATTTATTTGTCCAATGATATCTGTAGACTTGGGGGGGGGGTTTGCTTTGAGAACGCATTTAAAGTTAAAGTTGCTTTCTTTCTCTGCTCCCCCCACCTCAAGCCTACCCAGGAAGGGAAACACTGGCTGGGGAAGGGAAGACCAATTGAGGAAGCATGCCTCCCCTTCGCTTTCCCAGCTGCCCTGCCGGGAGCCACACAATAGAAAGAGCCGCATGTGGCTCCCGAGTCACAGTTTGGCCACCCCTGGTTTATGGTCACCCTTTTTAAGCTAAGCATTCCCTAGGGTTGCCAAGTATTATTTTCGCTGCAGCGGGGGACTCCCGGCTGGTGGTTGGAGAGCGTGTGCGCAAAGCACACGCACGCCGCATCCACGTCACTTGGAAGTGACGCAACCACACTGGGCACGCTGGGGGCAAGGCCACAACCATCCGAGGGGAAACCATAGAGTTTTCCCTCAGATTACCATGGCCCCACCCCCCAGCGTGCCCGGCGTGGTTGCGTCACTTCCGGGTGACGTGCACGCTCCCCCCGGGGCCCGATCCGCCGGCGGAGGGGAATGGGTCTCTGGGGCGGGGGTTTCCTTGCCCCCCAGGGGGACTTGGCAAGCCTAGCATTCCCCCAGCCTCCCTCCGTGGCCTCCCCCATATCCAAATATAAGTTCCTTTTTAAGTATCAGAACGCATAAAACCAGACATGTCATTGGAAGGGGAAATCATAACACTGCGACTAACTTATCTCAGCCATGTCATGCGGAAGAACTCACCAGAAAAAGCAATCATGCTTCGATTAGTCAGCGGCAAAAGAAAACCGGGCTGTCAAAGAACACGGTGGCTAGACAACATAAAAGTCGACACCAGCCCGAGCATGGAACGACTCAAAGGAACAGTACAAGATTGGAAAACACGGAGAGAACTGGCCCATGGAATCGCCAAGAATTGGACACAATTGAATGGCTAACAACAACAAGAAGAAGTTCCTGGAGGCAGAGAGCACTTTTCTGGCTTACGGAAACCACAGTATCGTTTAGGCATTAGACTGGTACCCACCATTCTTCTGAGGAGGCCAACCCAACATACGTGGTCCATTCACCCTCCCATTCTGCCATCGCAATAACCCTATGAGGTAGGTTGGGCTCAGAGACGAAGGTGGCTCCAGGCCACTGCTGACCTTCCCACAACTACCCACTCTCACCTTTTTTCTTGTTGTATTCATCTTCGGTTTCGTGGGAATCTTCCGAGCGATAATCTCGAAGCTCCCGTTCGTACATCTCTGCAAAATTCTCCTCTTCCTTCTTTTTCTTCTTGTCTTTGGTCTTCGATTTCTTGCCCTTTTTCTTCCGCTTTTTCCGGCTGCCGTCGGATTCATCGCTGTCACTGCACGCCTTCTTCTTCTTCTTTTTCTTCTTCTTCTTCCTCCTCTCCTCGCTGCTGTCATTCCCCTCGTCGCATGACCCCCTGGATCGCTTCATTCCTCTCTTCCTGTCCTCCTCCTCCTCCTCCTCCTCTTCTTCCTCCATCTCCTCATCTTCCTCTTCCTCCTCGGATGATCGACCCTTGCAATTGTCCCTCATGTTACCATACGTCTTCTATTCATCACACGCAAATTTTCCTCCCGGATTCTTTGGCACGTTCCACACTTGACCCTTCCCCGCTCGGTTCTCTCCTTGTGGATTCCCAAATTGTTGGTCGCCTCTAACTTCCCTCTCCGTCTCTCCTTCTTTACTGATGGCCGTGTCACCGATTTTCCTTCCTCGTCTGAATCGTCCCACTCGTGGACCGTATCTTTAACTATCCCATTCCTTGATCTCTTCTGTCTCTCCTCTCTTCGGTCAACTCGCTCTTCCTTTTCACGTCTTCAGTTTCTCCTTCCTTTTGCCTTGTCTCCTTTTTCGACACTATTATTTATTTATTGGCCTGAGCAGACTGCTTCCTCCTCCTCCTCCTCCTCCTTCTGCATGGTTTTTTCTTCCCCCCAAAAAATGTGCTTTCCTCTGTCTAGATCAAATCACGCAACCGGTCTACTGTATCACACCTGGCCAATGAAAGTGAGGACCCAGTAGAATGTAGGTCAGCAGGCGATACATCGTGAAATGCTAGCTTATCCTTCGCATGGAGAAGGGGGAGAAAACCTTATGCCGCATTTCTCAGAGTATGCCTAGGAAGTTTCAGAATGCAAAATGTTACCCCTGGTCAGGTGACCCCTAAGACAGACAGCCGGATGAAAAGAAAGCGAGACATCTAGCTACCTTATCTGGCTGGTTTGCAACTCCAACTCCATTATTCATGGGTCTCGGGGTTGCTTTACAGCTGGGGATCTCAAACTTTGTCACAATTAGCCTCCCTGAGACGGAGGAGGGAGGAATTTTGAGTCTCCGCGGGCCCCCCCCCCAGGTTCGTATTTGCAAAGAGGGTTTACTTTCATCCCAGTCGCAAGACTACATGATCGCAGGGGATATTTTTTTAACGCCGGCATTTACCTTTTGGATCCCACACTTTCCTTAAGTTTCTGAGGAGAATATAAATCAAAAGAACAAAATTGGAGGCTGGCAGTACCTTAAACCCTTAGGCCAGGGTATAAGCTTTGGTGCGTCAAAGCCTACGTTGTCAGACAGTGTATCCGATGACGTGAGCTTTGCCTAGGGTGACCATATTTTGGAAAGCAAATAAGAGGACCTATTTCCCGACTGACTACTTCAGACAAGTGATCACTATGACAAATCTCATTTTAAATACCCCCTACTGTTTAAGCTGTGATAATTGCTACGAACTAGGAATATTCCTGACCTTCCAACCCCAAAAGAGGACATTTTCATCAGGTTTTTTTTTTTAAAGAGCCCCAAAGAGGATGGACACACAAAAAAGGACATGTTCTCTAAAAAGAGGCATCTGGTAACCCTAGGTTTGCCTTATGGAAGACTAGGGGCAAGGCCCATTGCGGGAAGAGGCAACGAGCTCTAGTGAGAGTCCTTGTAAGGGCCCACCGCCTCCCTGGCCCCAGCGGCGCTGGGCGAGGGAAGGACGGCGCGGCCACCTCCCCTCGTCCCCGAGCGCAGCGTGGGCCAGATGCAGCCCCCCCCCAGCAGGGCACTCCGCCTCTGTGGGTCAGGCAGCGGCGGGTGAGGGAAGTGCAGTGCGGCTGCCTCCCCTGTCCCGGATGGCAGCCGGGGCACACCGCCAGGCCAGTGAGTGCGGCGGAGGGGATGCTGGCGGAGGCCAAACGCTTTCCCCGAGGAAGTGCCCACAGCATCCCCAGGCCAGGCCACGGCAGCCCCGGGAAGCTCGGCGCGGCCTTCCCCCTCTGTCCCTGAGGTGAGGTGGGACGTGCCACCAGGGAGGCAAGGCCAGGGGTGGCACAGGGAACTCCGGCAGAGACCCCCCCTGCAGAAGTGCCCGCGGCATCTCTGGGCACAGGGAAGCGTGGTGCGGCCATCCCCTTCTCTCCCCGCCAACCGGGTGCTGCCACCGCCGCCACTGCTCGGACACATCCCCAGTTCTGGAGAGGCCGGCCAGCCTCGTCCCTCCCCCCCCCCAAGCCAATGGGACGCCAGGAGTCCTGAGTGGCAGCTGGCGGCCCAATGGCTGAGGGAGCGCATTTCTTCTTGCCACCCCATAGACTAGGGGCCACCCCAACTGACAATTATATCAGGGAGAGATTATATCCTGAAAAATGTTGTTGGTATTTCAGGCGCTACCGAACCTGAATTTTGTTCTGCTACTACAGAGCAAATTACAAATTAAACTAGCCAACACAAACAACAGATTGTGCCGTCGAACTGCACTATTTCATATTGCTGGATAATTGAATGAGCAAACATTCCCCTATACCGACAACAAACACCTCCCTGCATAGAAAACTGGATGTCAGGGGAAAGTCTAGCTCTCTCCGTCAGTGACTAGCTTTCTACACACAGGAATATAATTTTGTGAGAGAAGAATCTTGCTTCATTTGTATTGGCAAAGCAATACATCTTGATTTATGCCGAGCATCAAACCTTACATTCACTGCGTGTGACCTTGATAATATTGCTCTCCATCAGCCACAGGAGTTTTCTCTTTTAAATAATTGAAATAAATATCTGCCTGCTACCTAGAGAAACCTGGCTGGCGTGACGAACTTTATTAACCTTTCAGGGATAATATATGCATTTATGAGGGTGTTCTGGAAAGCAGCACAAGTAATTTTCAACAGATGGGAGAGGGGCATTTACTTTCTGAAACCCTCTCATATTTATTTTTGTCATGATCCTGGGCTGAAGAATGAGCAGCCCGTAGACCTCAAAGAAGCCTCTCATCCAATAGGCCTAAATCTCAAGTACCCTCTCCGAGCTTTATGATTGGTCTGGGGGGAAAGGAGGAGCCAATCACTGGTGAGGAAGTGGAGCCTGAACAGAGACAGGGGTTAAATGTCTGAAACTAAGTTTGACCCTCACTCTGACCCCATGGTTGGGCCAATCTGTCTTACTGGCGCATAGTTTGGTGTAGTGGTTAAGAGCACGAACTCTAATCTGGGAGAACCGGGTTTGATGCCCCACTCCTCCACATGCAGCTGCTGCCGTGACCTTGGGTCAGTCACAAGTTCTCTCAGAGCTGTTCTCCCAGGAGCAGTTCTTGAAAGAGCTCTCTCAGCCCCACCTACCTCACAGGGTGTCGGTTGTGGGGAGGGGAAGAGGAAGGAGATTGTAAGCTGCTCTGAGACTCCTTTCGGCAGTGAAGGGCAAGGTATAAATCCAATCTCTTCTTCTTCTTCTTTTACCTCTTCTTTTACCTCACAGGGTGTCGGTTGTGGGGAGGGGAAGAGGAAGGAGATTGTAAGCTGCTCTGAGACTCCTTTCGGCAGTGAAGGGCAAGGTATAAATCCAATCTCTTCTTCTTCTTCTTTTACCTCTTCTTTTACCTCACAGGGTGTCGGTTGTGGGGAGGGGAAGAGGAAGGAGATTGTAAGCTGCTCTGAGACTCCTTTCGGCAGTGAAGGGCAAGGTATAAATCCAATCTCTTCTTCTTCTTCTTTTACCTCTTCTTTTACCTCACAGGGTGTCGGTTGTGGGGAGGGGAAGAGGAAGGAGATTGTAAGCTGCTCTGAGACTCCTTTCGGTAGTGAAGGGCCAGGTATAAATCCAATCTCTTATTTCTTCATACCAGGTCCTGCGCCAAAGCAGTGCCTCCCATAGCTATTTACAATAGAAAAAGCCCTACAAGAGGTCTTCTCCTGTGGTTAAAAGGGGCACATTCCTTGTCCTCCACACCCTCCTCGTAGGGTTACCAGCTCTGAGTTGAGAAATTCCTGGAGATTTCGGGACTGAGCCCTGGGGATGACTCGGAGAGGGCAGGGTTTGGGGAGGGACCTCAGAAGGATATAATGCCATGGAGTCCACCCTCCAAAGCGGACATTTTCCCCAGGGGAACTGGAGATCAGTCGTCACTCCAGGAGGTTTCCAGGCCCCACCTGGAAGCTGGCAACCATCTCGTCCTGTGACTCTCCGATGTCATTTTTCTGTTGGAAAAGTTGCGTCTGCGCTGCCTTGAATCTTTGGTGTAGTGGTTAACTGCGCAGATTCTAATCTGGGAGAACCGGGTTTGATTCCACACTCCTCCACTTGCACCTGGCTGGATGACCTTGGGCAAGCCATAGTTCTGATAAGAGCTGTTCTTGAGAAAGAACAGTTTCTGTCAAGAGCTCTCTCAGCCCCACCTACCTCCCAGGGTGTCTGTTATGGGGAGGGGAAGGGGAAGGAGTTTGTAAGCCGCTCTGAGACTCCTTTGGGTAGTGAAGGGCGGGGTATAAATCCAATCTCTTCTTCTCTTCTTCTTTTGGGCGTTATCGCCAGCATCTGGCGGCAGCCGATGAAAAAACCAACAAGCCGAATTGAAACAGTACGTCGCCCTCAAGGAAATGAACACAATAAGCCGAACATCTCTGTTTGCCATCGAAGGCAATTGTTCTTGATCTCTCCCTTAATTAAATTGAAAGTAAAGGCACAGAAGAACACTCCAATCTCCTTTTATCCTTTCTTCAAATAGCAGATGGGCCGAGGAAACACAATGGGGGTTACTGGTGCATAGAGAATGACTGGGAAAGTTACCAGAAGACTGGCAAACACGACTGGCAGGACTCATAAAGGGCTTGTGTTCTCCACAGGGCTTCCCTTACGAGATCTCATGCCAAACCCTGCTTCAGAAAACACACCCCCCCAAAAAAAAATACAAACAGATTTCCTTATTGAAATATTTGTATGATGCTTCCCTCCCAACAAGGGACCTAAGAACTGCTTACATACGAAACATGAATGCAATGAAACAAAAGAAAGAACAAAAGAAGAAGAATTCCGTTCACTCCGGTAGAAAAGAGCATGAGTCGAAGCATGGGAATGTTGCCGGTCAAAATGGAACGACGCCGTAGATGCAAAAACAAGCCAGCTGGGCTTACGGAAGACAGAGAATCTAACAGGGACAAAATATCTAACATTACTCA